TTGCCAGGTCCTCGGACCTTCAAATTTACTGGAGCTGGTGAAGCAGCGGTCGCAGCACGACAAAGCCCGTCTTCGGATCGACTCCCGGTATCAGCGGCAGGCGTCAGTGAGTTAGCTCTTATTTTGAAGGAACGTCGTCTTGTTGTTCAAACGACGGAAATCTCCAGCTTGACAGTTCTCAGTTTAAAGTAGGAAAGTGCAGCTGGCCAGTCTGCAACTTTCTTAATGATGACGATGGAATCCTCTGGATCTCCAACTGAACAGAGCTGAGGTTAAAATGGAACTGACTATAAAATGACGTTGCCTTGTTTTATATCTCCTAGTTGTTTACAAATCTTAGTAAACCGGATTGGACAACTTCATTAAACAACCCAGATTCTCTCTACGACAGACGAAAGTTCTGATTGGTTGAAAACAATGTGTCATGCGTTTCCATGTCAATGCAGATCAGTCTGTCTGGTGCAGTCCTGTTTATTCTTTAAACACATAACTCATGACATCTTTATTTCACAGATCATTCACCTGATTATTAATGATCAACAAATGCTCTGATTAGCTTTATCACGAATAAAGTACTTTGATTAATTAATGGAAAGCGTTCTTCTTCTCTTCTTCTGTCTCTTCTCCTGGAATGTAAACATACTGAAACCAGCATCCGACCTTGGCGATGTTACTGTGTGAAGGGGCAGCTGTTAAGGGCAGACAATAGGATCTTAATAACGCTACAACTATCATTAACTTTAAACCCCAGTTTTGGATGACTTTTATGTGTTTGTGACCTTTTATCCTTTTCCTGCATAAAGCAGCGCCCCTTTTAGTTAAATAAACTCCTTTAAGAGAGAGAATCTTGGTTTGTTTCTGTTCACAACCACCTTTCTTTACGCCCTCTAACCAACATCATCTCCTAGTCGAGCTGGGGGCCGTAAAAGAAGTGGGGGCTACACATTTATTACCCGGGGTTTACATTCTATTCTGTGTTGTTTTTAGGACTAACCTTGTTTTCCTCTCTTGGAGGTGGAGCGGACGTCGCCATGGCATCCTTTGACTTGCGGGCTTTTGTGGAGGCTCCTTCGCGCCGGCTGCTGGGGAGCTGTAGAAAAGCCGACCTACAGGAAGTAGCCACACCCACTTCAGCCTGATTGTCCCGAAACAGCTGACAAAAGACGCTCTACGGAAGTTCGTGTTGGAATATTTGGAGGAACAGGAGATCCTTCCGCCTCCTTCTGAGACTGGCTCACACCCTTCGTCACCACCGGTGACTCCGGAGGGAGAGGATAAAATCAGACAACCGGAAGAGTCCTCTTCAGGCTCACTGTCACCAGGTCAGAGTCCTTCTACTTCTCCACACACTAGAACTCGCCTGAAGCTCCGTCTCGCTCGTCTGCGCATCGAGGCGGATGAACGCGCTCTAGAACGGAAGCTACGTCACGAGTTGGACTTGAAAAGACTGGATGCCAAAACCCAGCTTAAAATGCTCGATCTCGAGCTACGGAATAAGAAACCCGTTCCTGCCGCTGCTTGGACTTGCTCTCAGGAGCCCGATGGCTCGGACGCCTCCCAGGCGGGATTTCGTCCAGATCCAGTAGCTCCTGCCAGTTCGCCGTTGAAGACCCCACCTTTCGACATCAGCAAATGTATCACGCTGCTGCCCCAGTTCCAGGAGACAGAAGTGGACGGCTACTTCCTAGCTTTTGAGCGGATCGCTGTGATGCTCCAGTGGCCTCGCGAGGTTTGGTCTCTGCTCTTGACTTGCAAGTTAAAAAGTAAGGCCCTTCAAGTGGTATCCGCTCTGTCTCCAACAGATGGCGCTAATTATGACAAGGTGAAATCCTCTGTGCTCATGGCCTACAAACTTGTTCCTGAAGCCTACAGGCAACAGTTTAGATTTGAAAAACCTCAGTTAAACCAGTCTTATGTTGCGTATGCCCACTCAAAATCAGGCCCTGTCCACACGTAGCTGGGGATCTGCCAAAACGTAGATATTTTTCTACGTTTTGGCCTGTCATCCACACGAAAACGGATCTTTTTAAAAACTCCGGCCAAAGTGAAGATCTGCGGGGGAAGTACTGCCGCCTACAGGTCTGGCATGTCTTAACAACATATTTATCCGGGTACGTGTGGACAGAGTTTTTTTTTTTTAAACGCGGTGGTGTGGATGCAAGTTTTTGGAGGGGCGGATATTAGTTTTTTAAAAACCCCGGCTACGTGTGGACTAGGCCTCAGTGTTGTTTGAGAAATGGTGTGCTGCTTCTCATATCTCCTCGCTAGCCGAACTGAAAGAGCTAATTTTGATAGAGGAGTTCAAACGACATCTTCCTGAGAGACTGGTTCACTATTTAAATGAACAAAAGGTTACTTACTTCTCCGAGGCTGCTTTAATGGCCGACAAATTCTCTCTAACTCACAGCGTCCGAGAGATTCGTTCCGAACCAAACAGAGGAATCAGACCCAGTGTTAAACCATCTCCTAATCATGAGAATCCTGAGTGTTTCTATTGCCATAAACGCGGTCATGTTATCCGTGACTGCTACGCATTAAAACTGAAGATCCGTAGATCCGGAAATTCTCTAAATAAGAATAGAACAGAAATAGCTTTTTGTTTGGAAGCTAACTCAGAAAAGCCAAACCCCTGCTATCAGCCATTTCTATCAGAGGGTCGTGTGTCTCTTCTGGGTTCTGAAACCAAAACCAAAGTAGTCATTCTGAGAGATACGGGAGCTTCCCAAACTTTAAGAGAAGCGTGTTGTCCTTTTCTGAAAGCAGCCAAGCCAGCTATTCAGTGTTGCTTCAAGGTATTGAGATGGGAGCTATCTCTGCTGAAATGCACTCTATTAAACTGTCCTGTCCTTTAGTCTTGGGTGATTTTGTGGTTGGGGTGTTGGAGGAACTCCCAACTAAAGGAGTTGACTTAATTTTAGGGAATGACGCTGCTGGAGGCTTAGTCGTGCCTCTGCCTGAACTCATAGTGGAGCCAGAAGTTCATGCTAGTGCTAGCCCTTTCCCTGCCTGTGCGTAGACTCGAGCGCAAGCTAAAAAGGATCCAGATATAACCCTCTGTGGTTCTGTTTTGTACCCTTTTTTGTCCGATGAAAACTCCGCTTTAGATGCTGCTGTTTTTATGAAACCCCCGGTTTCTGTGAACTTTCCATTAAGCTACGATGCTTTAGTAGCAGCTCAGAGAGCAGATAAAACTCTCCAGCCTTATTTTTCTCTCGCGGCTGGTGACGCTAAGCCCTCAAAAGGCATAGCCACTTATAAACTAGAGAACGAGGTTCTGCTCCGATGTTGGGCCCAACCCTCTGCTGAAGGCGCCGATTGGGGAAAAATAAAACAGATAGTTGTGCCTGAAAAGTTCCGTTCCCACATTTTATCATTAGCTCATGAGAGTGAATGGTCTGGCCATTTAGGAATAAACAAAACGTATGATGCCATATTGCGCCATTTCTTTTGGCCAAGATTAAAGAAAGAAGTCTGACTTTTGTAGAAGCTGCCCAACGTGTCAAACTGTAGGTAACCCAAATCAGACCATTCGGCCGGCCCCTTTACATCCTACTCCTGTGATAAAAAACCCCTTTGTTCACATAGTTATTGATTGTGTGGGACCTCTACCGCCCTCTCGAACAGGAAAAAAATATCTCCTAACCATCATCTGTTCAGCTACTCGTTTTCCTGAAGCCGTGCCACTGTCTTCCATCACCACAGCTAATGTTATTAAAGCCCTGACCGGTTTCTTTTCTGTGTTTGGGTTACCTAGATCCATTCAGTCTGATCAGGGCTCCAATTTTACTTCATGCATTTTTGCTCAGGTGGCTAAGACTTTACATATCCAGCACCTGAAGTCCTCCAGTTATCACCCTGAAAACCAGGGAGTTGTTGAAAGGTGGCATCAAACTCTAAAAACTATGCTGAGAAAATATTGTCACACCACCGGACGATCCTGGAAAAACGGACTTCCATTTGTCTTATTTGCCGCCAGAGATGCAGTTCAGGAGTCTACTGGATTCAGTCCCCACTGGCTCGTGTTCAGTCACACTCCTCGGGGGCCCCTAAAGGCTCTAAAAGAAAAAGTGTTCCTCTATATGTGGTCACCTTCAAATCTAGATTGAGAAAATCTAATCTCTTTGCTCAACAGCACCTCCGAGACGCAAAACAAAAATTGAAAAGAACATTTGATACAAAAGCTGTAACTAGAACTTTGCAACCAGGGGACAAGGTCTTGCTTCTAAGACCTGTTGTTGGATCTTCGTTAGCTCCAAAATTCGAAGGCCCTTTTGAGATTCACTCTAGACTTTTTTGCAATAACACGTTTAGTCAAACACATCCTACACACATCACACACCCACTACAAACTCCCAACACACTCACACACCACTACGAATGTTTTAAAGAATCACGGATCTGCCAAATGGTACACCCTTCCTCCTCTAAGTGGTTGACGCCATTACAGTGCCGGGTTACGTTTCTGTTTGTTTCCTCACGTATATATTCATGAAATATTCTTTATTATTCTTTTTATTATTAGTGAGAGAAAAGGAAAACGATATAGTACTGAAAAATTTGCTACAAATATTCAACATTATTATAAATGTATCTCAGAAATGGAAGCACTTCAAATAAATGTGTTGTTGTTTGAAAAGATTGTGTGTATAAGGGCATTTCTGTATAATAAAAAATGTGTAAAAACAAAATACGGTTTTCAATTTCTGTATGGATAATTGCATTTTTAGTAAAATATTAAGTTGCTATGACATTTTACATTTCTATTATTAAGATTTATAATGTAAGGGTTGTATTGATGTATAGCCAGTTGAAATACTCCAAAAAATGGCACCACAGCATGTAAAGATGTAAATATAAGTTCTGGTGGGTCTTAAAGGGTTAAAAAGAGTAATAAAACAGGAAAATGGGCTGGAAATTAATTAGAAACACTAACTGGTCACTACTCAAGACCATGAAGCTAAACAGCCGCTCCCAGTCAAAAAAACATAAAACATCCTTACCATTAGCGCCAAGTCCCACCCACATGGTGGCATCTTCGCCGACATCACTGAGTGCGTTGGTCAGGTGTTTTGTATCAAATGGTGTCCCATCCTCCTCAAGGCCATCCAGGAAAAGACTCGCACGTCGATCATAGATCTGAAATGTCAACTAGAGGTCAAACTAATTTCTGAAGACTTAGACATATTCAAGTTTATACAGAGTGTCTATTACCTATAGAAGGAAATCACAATTTTATTGAGTAAAAATCTGTGTTGGAGGAGATGGAGGGCATGATGCAGATGTAAAATTTTAGAAGCATCCAAGAAAATAAAATGCAATTCCTCTTCTGATTTTTCTTCCTTTTGCAAAAATTGTATGCAAAGTCCATGTGTACGTGTGTGTTTGTGTGTGTGTGTGTGTGTGTGTGTGTGTGTGTGTGTGTGTGTGTGTGTGCGTGCGTGCGTGCGTGTGTGTGTGTGTGTGTGTGTGTGACAACATGTGAATTATACATTTGGCTAATCTTCCAGCTCATTTCCCCAGCAGCAGAAAGAGCCTCAGGCTAAACTGCATCAGCTGCAAATTAGCTTTCTGTTTGACCAAAAATATCCTCTCCATTCCTTTCCCCTTTTTTTCCTTTGCCTTCGTCTCCTGATCGGCTCCATGAATATTAAAAACTGCGTGGCTGACAACACTGTCAAAGCAGGAGAAGTTCCCTTTCACATCAAACCCAGGACAAAAGAAAGATACTTCCATGAGAAGGACCCCCACCCCCACAGACACCCACCACCCACCACCCCCACCCAAAAGAAGAAAAAAAAACTTTAATGTATCCAGCCCAGACGATTGCTTCACTGAAACGTCCACATCCTGTGTTTTGGAAACATTCTGATAAACGTGACCTTCCCTGTTTTACTAGATACTCCTCTTTTCTGTTTCATTTCACTCGTCTGCTTTTGTCCACCTTGCTTTGTCCTTTCTTCTCAGGTCAGGTCATTTCCTCTGTTTTTACATTTTCTAAAATCTAGTATTGTTTCTCATAACATATCTTTTTTCTTTTTTACTTTCACTCCTCCCTCAGTTGACATCTTCCTCCTCTCATCTCAGCTCTCGTATTCCTCCCTCATGTTTATCTTGCCCTGTCGCTCTCACTTGTTGTCAGCTCTTTAGGGGGAGTTAAAAAGGTGTGAGGAGGGAAATAAGTCCAAGTCAAAAAACGCCTTTAGGGGATGAAGGCAGGCCCAGACAAGTGTCTGCCTCTCAGAGGATAGTTAAGACGCCCTGACAGACACTTTCATGATGGCTGATTGAAGACTGGCAACCGGATAAGCGCACAAGAAAGAGTGCAGGAGTGAATACAGAAAAAGCAAAGAGAAAAAGAGACGGGGGAGAGAAAGAAAAGTCAGAACAGAAAGCGAGTTGGAAGAACTCTCTTTAGGAATCTCTACGCCAGAGCCGCGTGGCTCTCAGGGAGATGTGAGGGACTTGTCAGGGTTGATGTAAATGAATCCTGAAGCGCTTCATCTTCCTTAGCCACAACGCACCCTTTTGAAACTACCCTTTGTTAGCTTTCACAAACACTTTCTCTCCATTTTACTTTAATTTTTTTCAGATCTGTTTAGTATTTTCAGCTACTTTCTTTTCTTACCTGTGGCTTTTGGTGAGTTCACTCTGAGAATGTGGAAAATTGAAGAGTTTAACGACTAGACCAGGGGTCGGCATCCCGTGGCTCTGGAGCCGCATGCGGCCCTTTGTGCTTGTAAAATAATGAATGACTATTTTATTAAGATGTAATTTATTTTACTGCATTCATCTTTTATCTGTATACCAATTATAAATGTAAAGATTATTATAAATCATGAAACTATATCTAGCTTTGCTGCTGGTGAGAAATTGTGAACGGTATTCATACACAAGTGCCCAAAATGTTTGTAAATGTTTACAAAGGTTCTAGTTTCCTCCTGACTATCAAGTTTCTCTGAAATCTCTTGGCTTTTAAAATGGTTCACTGAATTATTTCAAGCAAAAATTCCTTAAAACATAGCCAAGAGAGTTGTGACATTAGGTTTGAGATTAAATTTATATGAAAGTGCAAGAAACGTCTGCCAATTTCAGGGAGGGTTAGGTATTAAATAGCAAATAAAAGTAGTATTTAGAGCCATTTGTGGCCAAATATGTCCCAAAAATGTCATGACTTTCACACAAATGGTCAGATTTGTATGGAATTATATTATAGGGCCCACGAGACCAGGCCACAACCTGCTGCAAAAGTGTCACACACCCGAAAACTGGAGCATTTTGTCACATTTTATTATTTCATTAGTTGCCAAAAGTTGCCACCCAGTGAGAGACTGGTCTAAAGTATTTGATATGGCTTCATAAAATGTTAACTTTCTCCATTATCCTTCATGAGTTTTTTAGCCCAAAACTTACAAACAGGAGGAAAAACCACCATTATTTTATCAGTACTTGAAAACAAGTTTTGAAAATGCCAGAGTTTTACCTTGATCATAAAAATAAAATGCATCAGAGCATAATTTTATTTGTCTTCAGCAATAGTGGTTCTTCTTTTGCTTTGTCACTTACAGACTCAGTGCTTTGTTTTGAGCATTCTGCCATATTCAAACAATTTACTGTTCAAAACTCACCTACTGGCAGCAGCACTACTGAAGCCTTTCTAAAAGCCCAAAGAAACCCTGAGTGGAAAGCTTTTAGAGTGGCATTTTGACTAAAGCTCTTCTCAGTTTTCACTTTCCTGCCAAGCTGTGGCTCGGCACATAACGGTGACAGCAGTGTGTCTACGGTTGTAGCATTGGGCCAGAAGAGAAAAGGGTGGTAAAGAAACAAGCATGTGTAAGGTAAACATGTAATAAACACACTTTTAAATAGTTTTAAAGTGTTTGTTGCAGAAATATGGAAATAGGCCGATGGTAAACTTGACCATTACAAGGACACTAAGGATTATTATGATTGTAGACTTTAAAATGCTTTTAGAACCAATAAAAAATCCATTAAAATGAACATGAATGTAAATATACACAAATTACACATATCCTATTAATAGTAATAATAATAATAATAATAATAATAATAATGTTATTTATGAACGTAAAAGGATTTAGTGGTCGGATTCATAAGAAAAAGTGGAGCATTTTTGAGAGAACTTTATTTAATGTTAACATCTTTAAAAAGTAACATTGTGCCCATTTTAGCATTAAAAGGCTTTTATTAAGAAAATTCAGAAACAGCAAAAGCATTTTGGTATTTAATGAGCTCAGTTTAAAGCTGCATCCGCATAATGTTCTAAGAAAATGTTTCAGATGTTTAAAATCTGATTTTTGTCACCTAATTTTGGCCAATCCCGAAACACAGACAGTAATTCATACACACAAGGTTACAGCTAGTTTAAAGCGTTAGTTTGTCACAATTTTATTTTTCTTAATTTCTTGGTGCATTTTCCTTCAGCATGCATGTTTCTTGATAATATATGCATTTGGAAACAATTCCTACCTTTAGATTTCATCCTGGCATTATTCGAGAAATATAATTTAAGTTTTGAATGTATGATGTCATTTCCTGTCATGTTTACAGATGTTACTGTACATTTGTAAATATTGTGCAGAATCATCAATTACATTAAAATTGCAAATTCTACCAGAAAAATTGCGATTTATAATTGTACTCAAATTGCCCCGCCCTAATTCTATAAACAAAAAAAATCTTAAAGTCCCAGATCTTTCTTTTCTCCACATGAAAATAAATTATATAAAGTGATCTTTGCCTTATGAGTCAACAAGACAGACGTGTCCCCTTCACTCTCTCCCTCTGGTGATTGCCCTAGTGTTATTCACACCCAAAGCCTCTCCCATCCTCTGAAGTCGCCTCCCCCTTACCTTAACCCACAATGAACTGTTAGCAGCTCTGATGTACAGCCAATATTCCCTCAATCATATTAACACAACTGCAGTGTGTAAAGAAAGAGATAGAAAGAGGGTGAGAAATGGGGGGAGGGAGCGAGAGATAAGGAGAGAGCGACACTACGGGAAGGAGACATTTGTTCTACTCATCTCAGTGCTAAAAGACACAATTACCTCTCACAGCATATTATCCATGTTTTATACCAGCCCAGGGCCCGTGCCTTCGCCTTGCCACGCTCAGCCCATGTAAGGCCCATATTTTAACACTAGCTATGACAGTTTATTTAAGAAAAGGAAATTGTCCCCTGGGAGATGGAGAGGGAGAGAGGTACAGCAGAGGGTGAGGAAAATGAGAGAGAAAGAAGGAAGGACAAAGAAGGTGGAGGTATGGGGGTGGGCAACGAAAAAAGGCAAGGGGATGGATAAGGTAGTGAGGAAGGAAGAGAAAAAAGAGAAGGGAAATCGTATTTCTGGGCAAAAACAACATAGAAGAAGTATATATTTAATATGAGGAGGAGCCATACATCAAAGCAAGCTTGAAAAATTCTACTTAAAATATCAAAAAGGAGAAATAAATGAAGAAAACGTGCAGACATGTGCCACCTGCCAATTCCTGCTAAACTACAAGGTTAAACATCTGATTTGTGTCATCCTGCTGATTTATATTCACGTGATTTATTGTCTTTAGGAGGCCTCCACTTATAAACGGATATGGATTCTCTTTTTTCCCTTTGTGTGTGTATCTCACATGACTAATAACTGTTTAATACATTCTTCTGAATAAACTCAGAATAAAAACCGTGAGATCTTCATTAAATCAGCCCCCGGGGCAAAAGAGAAGCAGAGCCGTTAGCTCTAAATGGATCTGGATTGGAATATAAAATTTAACATCTTATTTAGCATAAATAACGTTAGAAGCATCAAATAAACACAAACTCTGTGAATCCCAAACCCTCGTAGTGCCTTTGCTGCGTACCTTTAAAGCTTTAGTATGTCAAGTATCCAGCAGAAATAAAACTCCTGACCCTGACTGTGTTAGTTTCCCTTCTCTCATGATTAATCGGGAACACGCCGCACAGAGGCGTCAAAAATAAATTAATAAACAAATGTATGGGGAGTTATTCAGTGGGCACTCGCACAAAACCCTTCCCTCCCTTCCCCTCTCACTATGTAATGGATGCCAGTGTCATGCCCTTTCGCCTGTGCTGCCAGCAGGCAGAGAGCTGCCATAGAAGAATCCAC